AAAGTGGTGCTGCACGGACGGGACCGAGCAGTCGGACTCAGAACTGGGGAAAAGAGGAAGAAGGTAACCAAGGGAAGCTTTGAAGGGGGACATACCGGTGGCAGAGGAACGGAGAGAGTTGTGGGCGTATTCCACCCAAACCAAGTGTTGGCTCTAGGACGATGGATTGGACTCGACCAGGCAACGCAGGGTGGACTCTAGCTTCTGATTGCAGCGCTCAGCTTGCCCGTTAGCCTGAGGATGGTAGCCGGAGGTAAGGCTAACGGACGCCCCGAGCGACTTGCAGAAGGAGTGCCAGACCTGGGAGATGAACTGCGGGCATCGGTCGGAGACGATGTCTGAAGGAATCCCATGGAGCTTGAAAACATGGAGGGTAAGAAGGTGAGCGGTCTCAAGGGCAGAAGGGAGCTTAGGAAGGGGAACGAAGTGAGCGGCCTTGGAGAAACGGTCAACAACCGTGAGGATGGTGGTGTTGCCGTCAGATGGGGGAAGACCAGTCACAAAATCGAGGGCGATGTGGGACCAGGGGCGACTAGGGGTCGGGAGGGGAAGCAGGGGGCCAGCCGGAGGTTGTGTACCAGACTTGTTTCTGGCACAGACGGGACAGGCCGAAACAAAGTCCTTTAATGTCTCTGGACATGGAGGGCCACCAGAAATGAGTCTTTGTGAGGGCGAGCATGCGGTTGACTCCAGGGTGGCAAGAAAGTTTGTTCGAGTGAAGCCACTGGAGTACGTCGGACCGCACGCTGGAAGGAACAAAGAGGGTACCGGGGGGACCACCACCAGGATTGGGTTCGGAGAGAAGGGCCTCCTGAACGGTAGCGGTGATGGGCCAGGAGAGGGAGCCGACAATACAGTTGGGGGGAAGAATGTTATTGGAGCCCTCAGGCGAGTCAGGAGGGGCAAACTGCCTGGACATGGCGTCAGGCTTAACGTTTTTTGAGCCTGGGCGGAAAGTTAGGACAAAATTGAATCGATTAAAAAAAAGCGACCAACGGGCCTGACGGGGGGTCAGACGTTTGGCGTTCCTACGATAGGTCAAATTCTTATGGTCCGTCCAAATCAAAAAAGGTGTCTCAGTGCCTTCCAACCAGTGCCGCCATTCCTCTAATGCGAGCTTGACCGCCAACAGCTCGCGGTTGCCCACGTCGTAATTGCGCACCGCTTGGGAGAGACGTCGAGAAAAGAAGGCGCAGGGATGAACCTTATTGTCCGAGGGTGATCGCTGGGAAAGGACCGCCCCTACCCCAGTGTCGGAGGCGTTCACCTCCAGAATGAACTGGTGCGTAGGGTCTGGATGGCAGAGGATGGGTGCGGAGAAAAAGAGAGACTTGAGTTTCTTGAAGGCGGCCTCGGCCTCTGGGGTCCAGTGAAAGGCTCGGGTGGTGGAAGTAAGCTGAGACGGGGGGCGGCGACACGATTATAGTTTTTAATAAATCGCCTGTAGAAATTTGCGAAGCCCAGGAAACGTTGTAACTGTTTCCTGGACTCGGGGGTCAGCCAGTCGACTACCGCCCTGGTCTTCTCGGGGTCGGTTCGACAACGTCCGCCCTCAAAAATAAAACCTAAGAATGAGACAGTGGAGGTATTAAACTCACACTTCTCCGCCTTAACGAACAACTGATTCTCCAGCAGCCGCTGAAGAACCGTGCGGACGTGAGCCGTGTGCTGAGAGGGGTCGCGAGAAAAGATAAGAATATCGTCGAGGTAGACGAAAACAAAATTACCAATAAGGTCGCGCAGGACGTCATTGACGAGCGCCTGAAAAACCGCGGGGGCATTGGTCAACCCAAAAGGCATAACTAAATATTCAAAATGACCCAAAGGAGTGCGAAAAGCTGTCTTCCACTCGTCGCCCTCCTTAATACGCACGAGGTGGTAAGCATTTCTTAAGTCGAGTTTAGTGAAGCAAGAAGCCGACTGTAATTGTTCCTGCAGCGAGTCAACGAGGGGGAGCGGATAATTATTTTTAACAGTTATGTTGTTTAATCCGCGGTAATCAATACATGGCCTGAGAGTTTTATCCTTTTTAGAAACGAAAAAGAAACCGGCTCCCAAAGGGGAGGTCGAGGGTCTAATAATACCTGAGGCAAGGGATTCATTAATATAATTGGACATAGACTCCCTTTCGGGACCAGAACGATTATAAAGTCTACTTGACGGCAAGGGGGCGCCAGGTAATAAGTCAATCGAACAGTCATAGGGACGATGAGGAGGAAGAGACAAGGCGCGTTGCTTGCTAAAGACTGCCGCTAGGTCGCGGTATTCAGCAGGAACAGAGGTGAGGTCGATCTCCTCTAGAGGAGGCGTGTTCCGAGGGAACTCTTTAATGGCGGAGCGAAGACAGTTACTGAGACACTTGTCGCTCCATTTGTCAACGCAGCTGCGCTCCCAATTAATAACTGGGTTATGGTTTCGGAGCCAGGGGAAACCTAAAATTATTTGGGGCGTACGAGAGTTAAACACGAAGAAATCGGTCATCTCGTGATGATTTCCTGAGATTATGACATGCAAATCGGTAGTCTTAAGGTTTATACGAGTCAAAGTGTCTCCGGTTAAGCCAGCGACAGAAATCGGAGGAATCTCGCGAGTGGGCAAAGAATGTTCTCTAACTAAATCAGCGCTGATCAGGTTTTGTTGAGCACCCGAGTCGATGAGAGCAGAAAACGAAAAGCGATGGTCAGGTGTCTGAATGACCATGGGAAGTAATAGTTTGAATGGGGAGGTTAACGCAGACGTTCCCACCAGTAACTTCCACTTTACTGGTGGAAGTTCTCGTTTCCCCGAAACGGACAGTGGGGCAGAAAATGACCGGGGTTACCACAATAAATGCAGAGCCGGGCGAATACACGCAGCTGTCTCTCTGCAGGAGTCAGCCGTGCGCGCCCCACCTGCATGGGCTCGGGGGAGCGATCCCGTGGAAGAAAAGAAGATGATTGGTTGAAACCAGGAAGCATGGAAGACTGGGAGTTGTAATTCAAGGGGGGCTGCTTGGGTGAAGTGGACTTGTGGCGAGGGGTCGTGAACCCGGAAGTGGGAGGATTCTGGGAAACGTAGTACAACGGTACAGACTTGGGCTCACCTGGAAAAGTCGGAAACCCAGAAGTCGGGGGTCGATGGGAATTGTAGTTTGCCTCTCTCCTCCTTTCCCGGAAACGGTCATCGATGGAGATGGCAAGGTCTATTAACTTGTCGAAAGTCTCAGGCTAGTCTCGCGTGGCCATCTGGTCTTTGAGAAAATCAGATAATGCGTTTAAGAAAATACCTTGGAGGGCAGGCTCGTCCCATCCTGTTTGGCCAGCAAGGATCCGAAACTCCAGGGCGAACTCCGAAGTGATACGACGGCCCTGTCGTAAATTCAACAAACGCTTGGCAGCGTTCGACGTCTGCAGGGGGCGATCAAAAATCCTACGAAACTCACGCAGAAATAGTTCATAGGTAGCAGGGGGATTATCATGGCTCAGAAGAAACAAGTGAGCCCACCGGAGAGCGTTACCTTTGAGCTGACTTACGAAAAAGGTGATCTTGGCCGCGTCCGAGGAGAACTGAGAGGGAGCCCCC